GGCCCTTGTCGGCCGTCCGGCAACAACTCTCGAACACTTTAACATATATTGACATGACATGAACATGAATGCTGAAATAACTTAAAAATCCTGAACTTAGCACGAAGAGCTAGACTTGGCCGCGGCGTGCGCACCGTGCGCTGCCGACGGCGTTAAGCCGCTTTACGACCAAACTCGATGTTCTCTCGGCAATTCCAACTTAACTGAACATGAAACATAAGTTTCTGAATAAATAGACATGAATATTCGAAGGAATATCTACTTAACGAACTTGATACTCATGAGCGGCCCGTGGCGCGTGCTACGTGCACGGCCACGCCTTTCGGCCAAAACATCACTTACACATGAAAATTTACCAAACACTTGAACTTTACTAAACATGAATAGCATCAAGGGACTGATTCATGAAAATAACTTGAGATATGATTCATCGAAACATGAACATGCCCGATGGTACACGCTCGGTCAAACGACTTAAAGTCGTGCCCTTAACATGAACAGATCGGAATTTAACATGAGTATTTTAAGGTATACTGAAGTTACCTCTTCAAACTACTAACTCAGCGCATTAACTGATCGGAATAATCGACTTCCGTTCGTGACGACGCTCTCGTGCGCGGTGTGGGGTGCGTACTCGCCGTGCGGTACTTGCGGTAAGCTCGGGCGCGCGTGTACTCCTTAAGAATTCTCACAACTCTCAACTCTCCTTACTAGCATACATATATGTACTTAATATAGGCTGAATAATATGGAAGAAATTTTCCCAAACTATAACATATATATAACCACCGAAAGGAAAAATGAGATGATGAAGTGTAGATGCGGCTTCCTCTCCTTGAAACATTTGTCACAATTGTGTGGTCTAATTTAAGGTGAATCATCCCTCAACCCTTCATAAGGTGACACATCCAAATACTTCATGAAGAGGACATTATTTGGTTTCCCAAACTTGAAGAAACTCACGGCAATATGGAATTAAAATGGGAAAATTCTTCATGAACTTAAAACCAAATTGCTACGGCTTTTTGGCTTTATATGTGGTGATTAATTGTTAATTAATCACCTTATTATGTTTAATTATTTAATTAAACATAATGCTTAATTACCAAAATTATTCCGAACGTAAACGGAACGTCGAAAACTAATTTCGGTAATCTCGACTGAAAATAATTAATTCTGAAAATAATACTCGACAATATTATTATATCAAAATTAAATACATGATTAACATGACGGGATATTCCTGACTGCATAATCAATTCCGAACTTCATTAATAAAAGAAATGAATCGGAATTAAATCTGGAAATTTATCCGGTTACTGATATAATTAAACCGAATAATTTATTGACCACTAGTCGGACTTTAACTGAAACTGAATAAATGACTTGAATCTAACTTTTGACAATTAACTTAATTAATACATCAACATTGGAATAATTAATTCAAACCTGCTGTTGTCCATTTATTAATATAAACGGACTGAGATTAATTATTATCAATGACTCGGTTAATAAATATAATTAACCGAATAAATATTCGACTTAACGTCGAACTTGGAATTCAACTAACTGAATAACTTGAACTTGAACTTGAACATGATTATTTATTAACAAAGGCTAGCTTGAAATTAAAAGCTAGTATTTTCCTTTATTAATAAAACTCGGGGTGTTACACGCCACGCCGACTCCGAGGTACGTCACCTGTACAGCTTTTATTTGCGAATGCATATTTAATTATAGTCAGATTATTTCAGGGGCGTACGATCTATCCTTCGATTAAGATTTGAGAATTCTAGTCAGAACTCTAGTTAGAACTTAGAAGATTTTAGTGTAACCGGAACTCTAGCCAAGCTAGGTGTTTTCGGAATTCGATAAATTATTAATGTATAGTGTAGCTATTTATTAATCGGCTATACTGCTTTAGTCAGAGTTTCAGCAGAGTCAGTTATTTGTACGCTCTACCGTCGACTTTCCTGAGGGCGGAGCGAAATATAACTCTAGAAACAACCTCGATTATGTTGTGGGCAACAACCTCTAGAAACAATTAACTTAATTAATACATCAACATTGGAATAATTAATTCCAACCTGCTGTTGTCCATTTATTAATATAAACGGACTGAGATTAATTATTATCAATGACTCGGTTAATAAATAAAATTAACCGAATAAATATTCGACTTAACGTCGAACTTGGAATTCAACTAACTGAATAACTTGAACTTGAACTTGAACATGTATATTAATTAACAAAGGCTAGCTTGAAATTAAAAGCTAGTATTTTCCTTTATTAATAAAACTCGGGGTGTTACACGCCACGCCGACTCCGAGGTACGTCACCTGTACAGCTTTTATTTGCGAATGCATATTTAATTATAGTCAGATTATTTCAGAGGCGTACGATCTATCCTTCGATTAAGATTTGAGAATTCTAGTAAGAACTTTAGTTAGAACTTAGAAGATTTTAGTGTAACCGGAACTCTAGCCAAGCTAGGTGTTTTCGGAATTCAATAAATTATTAAAGTATAGTATAGCTATTTATTAAACGACTATACTGCTTTAGTCAGAGTTTCAGCAGAGTCAGTTATTTGTACGCTCTACCGTCGACTTCCTGAGGGCGGAGCGAAATATAACTCTCGAAACAACCTCGATTATGTTGTGGGCAAGTACCTTTTTCTACGTATCGAGGATAGTCGTGGCGATATATTAGCGCCATAAGATCGAATTCAAACCTTAGAATTAAGACTGAGTAAATTCTACATTTTAGTAAATTCTGCCAGAAATGGTAGGACCCAACAAGGAATAGTCGATCCAAGATTAACAAGGAGGAGGAAGTGCTAACGCCTACGCTCGTCACCAGTAGAAGCAAAATTCCAGAAGACTCAAGAAGATGCATGTAGTTTAATTATCTCCATTCCGTGAACTCGCAATACTGTTGTTGCGGGAATTTCTTCATATTTTGGAACTCCGTTAAAATTCAAGTTGAGACCGAAATTTCAGTGCATTCCATAATGTAAAGATTGCAAAGAGCGAGTTATTGCTATAATTCGACACTTGCGAGAGTTAGATTAATAAGCCGATGGATTGCAACACATAGATAAAGCAGTGGACTTTCCATTGTTTGGACTATGTAAACTTTGAGTTGAGTACTAACTCTAGAGGTTACCTCACTTGAGTTGGCAATATGTCTTCCAGCTAGTATTATAAGTAATAGTTTTTCAGTGTATAAGAGTCATAGATCCGGGTAAGTACTGGAGGCTTGAAATAAAAGCCATAAGTTCGGGAGAAACCATGGAGGCTTGAAGTTGAACCATAGTAGATATATTTTCCATATGAGGTGATCTCTAGTAGTTAGAGAAAGAGGAGACCCAGTTTAATGAAATCTAGAGCGAGGATTGCACGTTGAGTCATGTTTTGACTCTGTCACCCAAGAAAGTTCCAATAGTATGAGAATACTCAGATGTCGGTTCACAGAGAATTTAATGAAAGACGAGTGGGAGTTTGCAACCACCATGATTCAAGAAGGAGAACCAACTCCCTCACATGTGGAAGTTGAGATTGCATGTTAAAGAAGTCGAAACCTGTAAACTTCGCATACCTGTGCCGAATGCCACAACTCTCGAGTTGGAAGTTGTGGGCAGATGGACGATATGCCAATAGAAAAATTCTAGAAGCCATGAAGAGAGAGAGCACTTCACTGACAACGCCCGAAGAGTTACCATTATTCTAAATCACGTGTACGTATTTTTAAGATGTTACCGAGAAGACCACCTAACCAACAAATGAAGTTCGATTGACCTGATGATGGAGAAGGACTCGTGTCAAGAGCACCAAACCGAGAGACTCCAAGAAGCTGCAATAGCTGAAGACCCAGACGCCGAGAAACTACAAGAGCTGAAGACCCAGACGCTAAGAAGCTGCAAGAACTGAAGACCCAGATCCGAATTGTGAATTGTTGGACCAAGAGTGTCACCCTAAGGTGCGCCCGATGTTTTGTAAATAAAGGAGATGTGCACCAATTACCAAAAGTTATGTAGACACAAGGAGGAGAGTAAGTACTCACCTTTGAGATTCGAAAAGTTGTCGACCCATGCGGGAAGACAACAAATTCCAAGATTGAACTTGAAGCTCGGACATCCTCTATGAGAAGTTGAGGAGCCCGAAGCCTCAAGATCAGAAAGCACGAGAAAGTTGAGGTGATGAAGTCATCTCTAAGTACTAGTAGTGTACGACATCACTAGCTTTAGATTAGACGTTGAGGGAAGAAAGAACAGAAAAGCCTCAACATTGAAATATAAAGGACCATTGGGTAAATTTACCCGTATAAGTAGTGAGACCCTCGATTTGTATCAGGAAGAAGTTAGATTCGAGTCGTATAGCGCCGAGTTAACTCAGCGCCGCAGTACCGTGAAGCCACTAGCATAAGACGTAGATACGACTGTGTTTATGACTGCAGGCGACACTGACACCGCAGGTACATCGCACGCAGGTATAGCATGCAGGTGTTCTGCGCCCGTGGGCCCCGGGTAGTGGGTAAGCCACATGCAACGTACCGCATCGTCAGGAGCCGAGTCATAACAAGTCGACCCGCAATTGCTAGTTGTCCTCAATATTACAGATCGATGGACGATCAGAACACTTAGATGCTTGCGTTTTGAATGACAAATCCGTTTGAAAGAGCGATT